TGTGTGTGTGTGTGTGTGTGTGTGTGTGTGTAGCAGAGGTGGGGGATGTCCAAGGAAGGGCAAAGAGCTTCTCTTTCCAGAGTTTGGGTGCATGGTGCATGTCTTCTGGTGGTGGTAGAAAAGCAAAAAATAGAAAAGGCTGTTAGAGAGTCCCTTATTTACAAGGCCAAGATATATGGAGTTTATTTGTGTATAAAATTAAGTGTCTAGAAGGCCTTGTGATTGATTGATACGTTTGACATACTAATTTCTTGCAACTTTAAAATAAACTTGTGTTATTCATGGAAGGTCTTAGAGAAGGGCTATATTATGAGCTGATATGAACTTAAAAGACATCCTGGCAGAGGACATTCGAGGGGAGAACCCCAGGGTTCGGGAGACCTTGTAGGAGGCTGTGGCAGAAGTCCCAGGGGGAGCTGGTGGTGCCTGAACCTGGGAAGGGATTGTGGAGATGAACTCAAGGGGTGTTTAGGAGGAGAAGTTGAGAGCCCTTGACCAGGATAGGTGTCTGGTGTTGATGTTCTCTGAGCCTTACTGTGGAATGGGTGGTGGCAGAGAGAAGCCCAGGATTAGCTGGGAATGTGAGCTGGAGTATATGACAGGATGGAACTGGGAACTGGGTGGGAGCAGAAGGAGTACATGGTGTCTGGGAGCCCAGAGAGGGGAGAGCTTCAAGGATGGGTGGTCACAGGCTGGGTGCTCTGGACAATCCATGAAAAATGGAAAGAGAGGAGGATTCCTTGTTTGTTCAGACTTTGGTAGGAGCTTTAGAGCGGTACAGTGTGGGTGGCAGTGCGCAGAGAGGAGACTGTCCAGGAAGCGCCAGAGTATGACAGGCCCTACATTACGAAGCTGGTCTGTGGAGGGAGGAAGCCCGTGGGAATTCAGCAAAGGGAGGAGCGGAGACGCTCAGATGAGGCACATGCAGCCAGCTTTCAGAGAAATAGGAAGCAGGCCTCTCCTCATCAAGATGACAAGGCCCCCAGAGCAAATGCCCCAAGGCCTAGGCAGGGGCTGGCTTCAGGTGAGCAGGAAGACAGACTCTCACGTGGTGCCCCACATCCACAGCAGCACAGTGCCATTGCTCTGCATCTACAGATGCCTCATTCTGGAACCTTCCACATGCTGTTTCTGTTTGAGCACTCCTCTCTGAGAGCTTTCCAGAGCTGACTCCTTCTCATTGATGTTCCTCACAGGGGCCTTTCCCACTCCTAGAAGCTGGAGAACAGATCGGAACAAATATACAACATGCTAAACAGATCATTTCCCACAGTGGTAAGGGCTCTGAAGAAAATAGGTATCAGGCTGGAGGATACTGCCAGGGGTGGGGTGGGAGAGCCACAAGTGCAGTCAAATAAGAGCTTCAGAGGCTGGGAGCTGACCTTTTCAGCCAAGAGGGAGCAGGCCGTTGTGGCCAAAGGCCGTGGTCCCTCAGGAGTGCTGCCTTCAGCTTGCATGACTTATTCCAGGTGTGAGGAGCAGTCTGCTGACAGGGAGCTTAAACTCTCTCTGATAGCTCCATTCCATCAGGGGCTTCGGGAACAGGAGGCAGAAACTCGGCAGCTGAGGATGTGCAGGAGCTCTGAGGGCATGTGTTCTCCATGTGCACATGGCTTTGTATGTACTTGGGGGTTGTGGGGCAGTTGCTTTCCCCCATGGCACCTCCCAGTCCTTGGGGAAGTAAAACAGTCCTTAGGATTGAGGTTTAGGCAGAGGGCCTTTGGGAAGGGACTGAGGGGACTTCTCTTCCAGTCTGAGGGGACCGGCCATGCTGGTGTGATACATGAGGTGCCTAGAGTCCTACCTGACTTGTGGGCCCACAGTCGTGCACCCAGAGCTGTGCCGAAACATCTCTGTGCACACGCTCATGTAAAGGTGCAGAAAGCACGCCTCTGTAGACATGGCCAGCCTCAGATACTGTAAAGACTCACACTGGCCTTGCAAAGGATAGAAGGGGAGTGGGAGGTGGTAGAGGGTAGGTCTCTGGATATCTCCTTCACATGCCTGTCCCAGTCGGCTCTCGCTGTCAGCTGTGCTTGGATCTGCGTCAGAGCCAAGGCCAAGGGACTGTGAGGACTGTTGGCATCCAGGTGAAGGGAAAGGCTGCAGAAGCCCCCAGTGGCCTTGCCCCAGACTGCCTCGCACTCAGCCCCATGTGGACAGTGCCAAGGGAAAGCTGTGCGTAGGGTAACTTTTTGAGATACAGGACTTGCTCTTTTACTAAAGTTTTCATGAGGTATACTATATATAACGCACCTGATAAACTTGGTCTATTAGTTATTGCTGAGAAACAAACCATCCCCAAGCTTAGTGGCTTATAACAACAATCACTGTTTATCACCAGTCTATAGATCAGCTGGGCAGTTCTGCTCTGGGTTCACTCATGCTTCTGAATTCAGGTGGCATGTGGCTGAGGGCCCACCTGATACTTCTTCATGTGTATCCACTATCCCTCCAGCAGGCTAGCCCAGGGATGTTCTGCTGGTTGTGGCAGGGTACAAGAGTGGAAACAGAAATGCACAAACATTTATTCAAACCTCTGCTTACTCCAAGTCACAACTGTCATGTTGGTCAAAGCAAGTCATGTGGTTGAACCCTTAGTAGAAGCTGAAGGGTCTTTAAAGTGACAAGGCAAGAGGCCATGGGAATAGGGTCCTGAATGAGCTAATCTCCCATATTTATAAAACACTAGTTAGAAGAGTTTCATGTGCAATAGAATTTTCTGTGATGATCCATCATATATGATCTATTTCTGTGCTTCCGATATTGTAGCCACCAGCCAGATGTGGCCATTGAGTACTTCAGATGTGCAGGTGTGACTAAGAAATTGTGTCATTTAATTCTAGTGAATTTAAGTTTAAATATCCACATGTGGCCAGTGGCTGCTATACTGGACAGCCCAGATAGAGGGGGAGGGGTGCTCAGAGGGAGCAGCTGTCAGGGTTGGGTCAGAGGAGGCTTACCTGCCAGGGGATGGGGGCGCGGGTGGAGGGAGGGGAGGGGGAGAGGTGCTCAGAGGATAAGGCAGAGGTCTTCCTCAGCCAGGGCAAGCTCCTCAACAGAGGGAAGAGAGGGGAACAGGCACCATGTTGTCAGGGTAGGGGTAGGGGATTTTTGTTCAATGAAGAGGGCTTTAGAAGGTTTTTGTTCAGCGAGAAAGATTTGAAGAGAGGAGAGGGAAGAACAAAGTGGGGGTTGCTCGCAGAGGGTGAAGAAAGCTTGGACTTAGGGAGCCTCTGACCATTTGCCAGTCCTCTGGAGAAAGTTATTAAGATCTTGGAGAATTTGGAAATCAAAAGTGCCCTCAACTGGCCAGCATGACCTATTGTTGAGTTTATATTGATGCCATGTGGAAGTAAACTAAAAGGCCAATATTTTTGGTTTAATGTCTCCTTTTAATCCCAATTTGAAAAGATTATGTAGGAGACAGCTGAGGGGGGGGTGTCCTGATGTCTTTGAGGGAGAATTACCCATTGTGGGAGGGTGAGAAAGGGTGGCTGGGGTTTGGGAAGCAGGCCACTGGGACGTCTCCCTGTGATGTTTCCCAACCAGAGGCTCCTGGAGCTGGACTGTCCTGCTCCCCAAAAGGGAAGTGTCCCCCCAGTCAGAGTGCAGGAGGTCCCCTTGTGGTGTTCTCAACTGGAGAACAGAGAGGAACCGAAGGGATAAAGGAAAGGGGACCCGGACCAACTTTCTCTCGGCGCCAAGAGAAAGCTGATGAAAGGCCAAAATCTTACCCTCCTGGGAATTGCGAAGGATTGATAGCCTGTGGTGGATGGGTAGATTGAGGTCTGGCAAGATGGTCCCTGGACTGGAGTTTGCAACGGGGTGTTGGGTGAGGGAGGGAAGGGAAACGGGGCGACACACCGGAGGCTCTCAGGATCTAGGCATTAGCCCGGGATGACCTGCTTCCTTGGCTGCAAAAGAGCCCCTGCTCTTGGCTCCCGCTCCCGGGTTTTGGCACCATATGAAAGAAGAGAGGAGATGCAAACTCAACAGTCCAAGCAGGTTTATTGCTGACCCTGAGAGGGACCCCTCTGTCCTGGTCAGCAGAACAAAGGAAAGGGAGTCTCTAACAAGTCAAGAGACTTTTTATAGCCAGGGCTTTGGTGGGTGGGTTCTTTGAAGGGAGGGGTCAGGGGAAGAGTGGGCTTGTGGCTTGCTGACATGTCCTCTGGAGAATGCTTGTAGCCTAAGTAAGGACACCTAGGTCTCTCTGAGATGGTGGGTGGGCTTATTCGAAAGGCGGTACTCAGGTCCGGATTCCATCAACGTATCCCTGCTGTCCCTGCTGCCCTGGGCTTGCATCCTACCCTCTTGGTGACTATGGGGGAAAGAGCAGGCCATCAAAGTGCCAGGATGGCTCCCTGTGGACCATCTTGAACCATTTGCTTGTTCCTGGAGTTCTGGCTGCATTTGGGGTGAGTCTCACTGCAGCTATAGAGAGAGTGGAGGAGGGAAATTTCATCCAGGAAAATCAGGTCCCTGGAACAAGACAGATCTCACGCCTCAGGGCTGGGTGTGAGGACAGGCTGCAGTCACAAGATTGGGGCAGGGACCCAGGCTGGGCCTGCTCTGGTTAGAGCAGTCTGTGGCCTCAGACTGCCACTGAGGCCAAGGATCCTCAGTCGTGGGGAGCAGAGGGAGGTGGAGGGAACTGGGGATCACCACCACATGTAGCCTCAGGAACAGAACTGTCAGAACTTTTTCTCCCGTTGGGTGAAAGCAACAGGGAGAGAAAGGGCACTTATCCTGGAGGACACTTTCTGGTCACAGGATATTTGGATGGCAGGAAGCACCCCCACAGTGGGAGCCACATACTGTGGGACTGGATCTTGGGACTAAATAGGTTTCTCCCAATCTCTTGACCACCGAGGCAGACTTGATCCCTCACTTCTGGTGGTGGCCTGTTTGGTGAGGGAAGCAGTGGAATTAGACAGACACCGTCCAAGTTTCCCTCCTGCTTAAAGCTAGCTCTCTCCCTCTTCTTCTCTGCTCAGATATCCGTGGGCTCCAAAGCTTTCTGGACCAGGCCTCGCGGCTGGGCCTTGATGTCTCTTTGCAAAAGGTGGACAAGAACATTAGCCACGTGTTCGCCAGCCTCTTCACCACCATGAAGACGGAGGAGCTGAATCGGTACCGGGACACTCTGCGCCGCGCCATCCTGCTGCTCAGCCCACAGGGGGCCCACTCCTTCATCAACGAGGTAGGTTATGGGGACCTGGGGCCATAGGAGCGGCTGCCCAGGCCTCCACCGGGGTGGCTCAGGTAACCTCTGGATGCTGGGCCCAGAGCACACACCATGAAAGAGGAGACCCTGACGCAGCTTGGTTTCTGGCTGGTTCCCTACAGGTGACCCCAGGCCCACCCAGAGGCTGAGGGGCTGGGGGCAGCTGGTAGTAAGCCTGTTTACAAGTCACTGCCAGAGATTTCTGAGACAACAGTCAGACTGTTGTGTGATGTTTTTTTCTCTTTAATTTTCTGCTCTTTGTTGACAGGTGTAAGGCTGTGCTGGTAAAATAAATTGCCAGCTTCTGCAGAGGGCAGCTCTGCCTAGGGTTGTTGTCACCTGGAGGAGGTGTCTATTGCATATCACCAAATGATACTTGGTTCTTGGGCCTGTTTTCTGGATGCCTGGGCTAATCAGTGATTTTTTTTTCAAATGACTCTATTAAGGGTTAGGACCTTCTAATGAAGACAAGGTCCACCAGTTTAGCAAAGAGTCCACTAATCTGAACAGACAACTAGAAACACTCTATAGGCTGGGTGAGTGGTGCCAGCCCTTATTGTCTGGTGGCAGAGAGGTGATAAGCTGGTGTTGGCAGGTCCCTCTCTGGCCTGGGTTGATTTTGGGGAGATGTGCTGGCAGAGCTGTGTGCCTGATGGTGTGGTGGGCCTAGCAGCAGGGGTGTACTGATGGGGTCTTGGGGTGGCTAAATGCTCTCTCCGTTCCTCCTCCAACCTCAGTCACCTTTTTGGCCCTCTGATTGAGGGCAGAAATGAAGTGAAAGGCAGAATTGCACTAACTCCATTTGATGTATTTCTCTTTCATGTTCTGCTTTCTCCTCTAATTAATTGTTACTCAAAATGCTACCTTATGTATCAGAAACCAACCAGAAGCCACTGCTGGAGAACTGAAAATATGGAGCACTTAATTTGGTGCATTTGGCTGGCAGTGCTGCCACTCCCGGCTAATCAGGTCCTGTGTCACACCAGGGGTCAGCCAGGCTGTAATGTCCTGTTGGTGCTTGGCATTTTTGCCAGAACAACTTACCCTGTATGCATTGATTCAGGCCAGTAATGGGCAGCCTAGGATTAGTAGCAGAATGTGTCTAGGCCTTCTCAGAATGTTTCCAGCTGCGTATGTGCCAATGTCTGCTTATAGGAAAGTGTTCCTGCTTGCTAAATTCCCCCAGCCAGTCTGCTCCTGCCATGTGTCTGCTAATTCCCTTGCCAGGCTCCTTCCTTCTCTCTTCTCTCCTATCCCTGCCTCCTCTCCTTGCTTCCTTTCTTCCTTGCCACTGCTCTGCTGTTGAGCTTGGGAGTGGGAAGAATATTGGCTTTGGGGTTCAGCAAATCTGGGGGCAAGTCCCAGCATCCCCACTGACTGTGATCTTGGGCAGTTTGCCTCACCTTTATAACCTTTTGTTCATCTGTAAAGTAGGGACAGATACCATAAAGCATTTGGCATATACCTTCTCAAGAAGCATCCTCTGTTGTTCACTGTGCACATTCATCATTTCCCTTCCAGATGAATTCAGCCCTTGCTCTGTTTCTAGGTCCTACAAGGATTTAACACCTCACCAAGACTGGCCTAAAGATACTATTGTCAAGTGGTGAATTATGCAAACTCCTACAGTGTTGGATACACTTGGCTTTAGCCTGTTGCCTTCTCTGTCCCTCGGACCATGCTTGCAAAGTCTCTGCTGGGTGCTGAGGGTCTGGGGATGCCCCTGGAGTAGCGAGTCTTAATGCCAGTGGGCAAGAGTGACAAGCCCCTGGGAGTGGTGGCTGGAAACCGTGGGGAGAGATGTCACCCGGCCTCATTGCCTTCAGCTCTAGCTGGTCAGTCTTGGTCTCTGGTCCTGTGTACCTGCCATTGGGTAGGGAGGGTATGCCATCATGTCCTGGGTGCCCAGCATGGGTCTGCTGGGCAGGCCTTTGTTTCCCGTCTCTAACCATCACACTTTGCAAATGAGGCAACTGAAGCTGAGGAACTTAAATTAAGGTCACGCAAGTTATCACCAGGAGATTGAATAGGATTCACGTCCAGATATGACCCACTTGAGAGCCCCTCTGCCATGTTGCTGTGATAACTACAGAAAGCACAAGTAATGCAGATACTGCAGTGTGTGGAAAGTGGCTGTGCTGGCTTCATGGGGGAAGGTATGGCTCAACTGCTTCTGGCATGGATTCTGGCAGAGGGTTTTAGGTGCTTATGCTCAAAGAATTTTAGTGCATCTAAGTAAGGTACAGGAAAGAACAGGAAGCTGGACTCGAGGTAAACATGATCTGTGTGACTGGCTAGCCCAGCAGGTGCCCTAGGAGAGACGTGGGGATGCCATGCTAGCAAAAACCTTTGTTCACTGCCTGAAGGTGTTGTGTGGGCTTTTTGAGCAGACTGACCCAACCTATTATTTGCTGTGACAAGGAAGGGGGGATGTTCACAAGATTGACCCACTGCCAGGAGTTGTCTTGAGTTTTATGAAACTCAGATTACTATTATGGGGAAGTAGATGGCCTCAGAGCCCCACTGCTATTGATGACATGCCAGTAATGTGCCTGTCAGGGCTGGCGTGGATGAGCCACCATAGTGGTGGGTTATGTGGCCCTCCCAAGTAGAGCTTCAGCCCTGTATGCTCAAAAAGCCTTGCTGATAGGAGTGAGGGGGAAGATGCTTGAATTTCTTTCATTTGCTACATGTGAATCTGCTGGGAAGGCTGGAACTTTCACTGTCGCTAGTGACAAATTCTGCATGACACTGGGCTGTCCCTGTGCTGTGTTGGGAGCCACTCTTCTGCCAGTGTCAGGGTGTATCCGTTCCCTGTGAGGGGCTTGACCTGGGAGGTTCACACGTCTCTGTAATCCCATTTAATGAGGGGCTACCCTGATTGGTGCCATGGGTTTGGGGAGCCTTGGTGGTGGGGGTTGGGGTGTGTGTGGCAGGCCAAGGCTCTGGGGCCTGCTTGGGGGGCCTCGTTGGCTCATGCAACAGGCCCCACCTCAAGATCTCCTCGCATTCCATTACTCAGTCTGGAATCCATGCTCCATCCTCTGAGATTTTTTGTCAGTGTTAACAGCCACCACATCAGTGCATTATCATGGCAAATGTCCCCTTGGGGAGACTGGGTGCAGGGTGACAGCACTGTGGTGTCCTGGTCCCAGACCTGGAGCCCACCGTGGGGCTGCCCCTGGGAGCTGCCGAGAGTACAGACCATGGAGGGAGCCCTTTCTCCGGCAGAGCCTGTTCTGTTGGGGGCTCAGCACTGGAGCTCACTGAGTGAGGGTAAGTGGCACTTTCCCCAAACTGGAAAGTGAGTGGGGCTCATTTGCTCCTCAGCTGGGCCTCAGTTCTTCTCGGACCATTGGCTGCTATGCAGGGCTTTGGGGGACCATGACAACCATGTATGGTGCTGTCCTCACGTGGCCTGTCAGCCCCAACCAGCAGCTAGGGGAGGGAGGGATGTGGGTTCCTCACTCAGGGCTGCAGAAGTCCTGAAATGATTGAGGTGACAGCGGCTGAGAGGGGCTGGGGCAGAGGCCTTGCTCCTGGGACCCCGGCTGTGGCTGCCAGAGCCTTTTGCTCTTTGCTTATGGGGTTCTTCTTCCATCTCTGCAGCACGTGCTGTGCCAAGCCTTTGCTGGACACTGAGGCCATGAACCTGCTCTTGCAGGACTCCCAGCCTGGTGGGGAGGACAGAGGTATAAACAGGCCCCTTTGCTGTGAAAGCAGAGGTGTGGACCAGTCCTGGGACAGCATGAAGGACAGATCCATGCCCTCTGGCCAGGGAGAGATGGGGGTGGCAAAGGGTCAGGGACACTCCCTGGGGTGGGTGACACTGGGGCTGGGTCTACAGGAATGAAATTTCATTGACCCCATGGCCAAGGTGAGACTGGGGGATGGGGCCTGGAGAGCCCCAGTGTATTCAGGGGGTGACACATGACAGCAGTGGGTGTGTTGTCAGGGCGGGGAGTGGCTGGGATGTCAGCAGAAGGGCCTCCTTGGTCCAGGGTGGGGAATCTGAAATTCAGGACTGCTTTGAAAGCCTGCAGTGCCCTCCACGACCACAGCCCCAGGGCTGCCAGGGGGGATGTGTGTCTTTCTGTTCTTTCTTCTCCAGGTCAGGTGTGATGGGGAGACCTCTGGTCCACAGTCAGTTTTGGCCCTGGGCTTCATCTCATCTTCCTGAAGGAGATTCCATCCATCTGTCTGTCATCTGTCCATGTATCCATCCCTCCATCTGCCTGTCCTTCCTTCCATCTAGCCATCTGCCTACCCACAAATCATCCATCCATCCAGTAAAGGTTGGGTGCCTACTATGGACCAGGAACCATAGATCAAGTACCAGTTGGGGGCACAGAGGGGGCATCCTCCTAGAAATCTGCCATGACATTGTGTATTATGGCTCTGCACCCTGGTCAGTGCTGAGCATTCCCAGTGGCCAGCTGAGAGGGCATGACCCAGGGCTCTTGTTCACTCCAGGCATATGGTGGGGGACTGCAGGGCCTTGTCCTTTCAACTCTCATTCATCATGCCTGGGCCCCTGTCTCTAGCTGGACTTAGGCCCCCCTCTTTCCTTTTGTATCTTCTATTTTCTCCTCTTCTCTCCCTCCCAATCTCTCTTGCTTCACTAGAAAGAATAGAAAAATTCAACTATTTTAATCATTTGAGTACTTTCTGGAGAAGAGTTGCCACTCATTTTTCACAGTTGGTGAGGCAGACAGTGTTGCCTGCCCAGATTCTGCTGCCCCAGCACCGTCCAGCTCTGTGTGGCCATAGTTGTAGGGCAACCTGTCCCTCCATCAGAGGCAGGACCTGGGAGTGCCCACCATTTATCTTCTGGAAGCAGCTCAAGGCCTGGCCCACAGTGACTGTTGAGGGAAAAATGAATGGCTCTTTTAGATTTCTTGCCTCCCATAGAAAGGGCTCAAGCTATTCTTGCATACACCTTGGTTACCTTTTTGGCTGGTCATCAAGTCCTTGGC